CTGTTTTTGGGTTTGATGGCTGTTAAACCACTTCAACACCTCGTTATTGTCTATAATCGTGGGACTAAATTCCAAAATTAAAACGTTTGCATTTTCATGATTTCTATCAGAAAACTAGGGACTGAAAGGAACATGGAGCTTACCAAGTTTGTTCATGAATGACCTTGAACCACTTTCAAGGTCACAGTGTTTTACCTTTAAACAATGTCCCTTATTAACAGATATACCTGTGACATCTTTTATTACTCAAGTTTGTTGGCCAAAGATGATGACCTTGAGAACCACTTTTTTATGGGGAGGAGTTTGGTGTGTTTGACCCAGCCTTTTTATGGGGAGGAGTTTGGTGTGTTTGACCTATCAAGTTTTTATGGGGAGGAGTTTGGTGTGTTTTTAAATAATGGGGAGGAGTTTGGTGTGTTTGACCCAGCCTTTTTATGGGGAGGAGTTTGGTGTGATTGACCAAGTTTTTCATGGGAAGGAGTTTGGTGTGTTTAAACCAGCTTTTTTATGGGGAGGAGTTTGGTGTGTTTGACCCAGCCTTTTTATGGGGAGGAGTTTGGTGTGTTTGACACAGCCTTTTTATGGGGAGGAGTTTGGTGTGTTTGACCCACTTTTGTGTGGGGAGGAGTTTGGTGTGTTTGACCCAGCCTTTTTATGGGGAGGAGTTTGGTGTGATTGACCAAGTTTTTCATGGGAAGGAGTTTGGTGTGTTTAAACCAGCTTTTTTATGGGGAGGAGTTTGGTGTGTTTGACCCAGCCTTTTTATGGGGAGGAGTTTGGTGTGTTTGACCCAGCCTTTTTATGGGGAGGAGTTTGGTGTGTTTGACCCAGCCTTTTTATGGGGATGAGTTTGGTGTGTTTGACCCAGCCTTTTTATAGGGAGGAGTTTGGTGTTTGACCAAACTTTTTATGGGTTTGGTGTCTTTGACCCAGCCTTTTTATGGGGGAGGAGTTGGGTTTGATTTTGATGATGTATAATTTTTTCTTATAAATATACCAGCACTTTTTTGTATCTTTCCAATCAGATTTGCAAAATTTTATATCTAAAAGAAAACTATTTCCTATTATAAATACTAACTTAAGATAACCTTTATACTAATAGGATTTTGAGGACTGGATATTAAACTGCAGCTCAGTTTATTTGTTGCGTTTAGTATCTGTTTATTGGGTTTGATGGCTGTTAATCTCCAAAGTAACCCAGCAACACCTCGTTATTGTTATTGATATAATCGTGGGACTAAATTCCACAAATTAAAACGTTTGCATTTTCATGATTTCTATCAGAAAACATGGAAACAATCAACAGAATCCAATCTTTTAATTCTAATTTGCTGGAAATGGTTTGCAACCATTATCCTAAATATTTATCACCATGAGCTGTTTTTACCTTGACAAAGGCAAATTAATGTCATAGAAAATGAAAAACATTGAACTTGTTCTTAATTATAGGAACATTTCAGTTCAGTTCAACATTTTACAAACAGGATTGGCAGCCATGTCCCTTAAACAGATATACCTTACTTCTCATCTTTTATTACTCAGTATTAAGCTCCTGGCCACAGAGATGATGTTCCATCAGAGAACTTTGTTGGTCCTGTGAGGTGTTTAATTCAGTTCTTAACACAGATTGTCCACGACAGCTAGCATCACACATTACTCAGTTATCTGTAACCTAGCATCATAATTAAATATATTGTCAGGATTTCTCATATCCTGACCTTATGTGTACACCTGCTACTGTGTAGCTTTTTAAACATTTCTTACAGCAAGATTCATCAAACCTTGCTTCTATATGGAGTTAGAATGGTATGGTGTCTACACAATTTACTGATCAATTAGGTTAATCATGGCATCCAGTGTAAGTACTGTTGACATTTAGTCGTGTGTAAGTGTAGGAAGATCAGTAGAGTGAGATACAATGGTCACGTTACCAGACTTCAACCATCGATCCTGACAAAGCCTGGTAAATAGATATAATAATGGATTAGCACATCAAAGCTTAGCCAAACTATTCCTGGACATGAAGGGAAATTAAAGAAAATAAATTGTTTTAAATGTTGTTGTAAATATGTTATACCTGTCCTGATATTCCTTGTTCATAAACTGTCATTATCTCGTATCGTTTGGTAGTGAAGGATTGTTCAGGTGGTCATGGTAGCAAGCTTGTTAATGATACCTGTGACATAGATAATGTTCAGTGAACTAGAAGTTAAATGCGATATGGGATTTAGATGAATTTAAAAAAAATATTTTGATAAAGAAATAACTGTAGCACCTTTTTTTAAGTATAAGTAAACTGAATGTTTTCTTTTATTGTTCTCCGATACATGTATTGTTGTCAACATCAGAATTTGTTCTTAGTTAAAAAAATAGGATTATTTAAACCTAATTTCCCTGTACATTGATGTATCAAATGAGAATATGTAAATAATTATTATGTATGAAGGATACTACCAGTCTGTTCATGCCTGGTCACCACACAACTAGTGTATCTTAAACTTTAGCATAAAAATATTGTGTCCATGTTTCTTCATCAAATGGAATGACAAATAAATCTACCTACTGGCAGGTCCTGCCTGGAAAGGATAGAGATTTGACAATACAATATACCAAGCTTGGTTAATCTTTCTGTCAAGTCGCGATAAATATATATAAAAAAAACGCTTTTCAAATCTTAGGAGTCTTTTGACTCACAATCTGAGTCATTCTTTTTTCTCTGGAAAAGAAAGCGACATCTCTTTGGCGTCATTTCTCTTCCTGTGGCTTCCCTTTGGCATATTGAGTGCCATGCTTGTCAGCGAAGCAGGAGACAGAGGATTCCAATATCATCGCTTAAGGCATTAGACCCTAATTTCCGTACAAAAAAAATCCATCACCTTTGTAATCCCTGCAAGTTTTCATTGCTAATACGACCGTGTTATTATGTTTTAGTCCGAGTGAAAATAGAAATGTATGATAGCAAAGGATCTCATTTACAACCTGATATATATCTGTTAGGATTTATTTTTATCCATGTAAATGCAGGATGCTGTACATTAATTAATTATTCATATAGTAATTACAAGCTTGCTCCTGTGTGTAGACAGTTGTGTCCCTTGGTAGATTGTCATTAGACGCTGCAACAGTTTGTCATCCCTCGACTCAATGCTTCTTAAATTCCATCGCCTTCATTTCTAGGCTATCTCGAAATCATTTACAGAAATTTTGCCTTTGGGTATAGTCTGTCTCGGCCGTCTTTAATTTGTTCATCTATCATGTGACTAACGATGCCACGGCAACAGGAAGCTGTTCTACTCCCATGGATACCCAGCTTGTTTTAGAAGAATAAGATGGTAGTTAATAGTTCTGAGATTTAATTTGGACCCAGTGGATAAAGAAAGCGAAAGAAAACATGTATTGGAATTGTGACTCATCCAGGACATTGCTAAAATGCTGGAAAAGAGTGTTGAAAATGTTGCCAAGTGTTGCTGGCAGCCTAATGTCTATTATAAGTGTGTAAAATCTGTGAAATTGGTTGAATCCTTTTCGGTAATCGTGGAATTAAGTAGTTGTCCCTCTAGCCATACTCAGTCGTCAGAGGCTAGAGGAAAGCTCTCTGACTCACGTAATGACCATCTCCATTTTAAAACACATTTACTAACACCCGATAAGCAATTAGCCACTTTAATTTGTTTTTAACAAAGAAAGTTAGCTTCCAATTTGGAACCTATTGCGTCTTTCATTCAAGCTTAAAAAAATCAGTTGATGATTATATGATGGGGATAGGGGACCTTCAATGCTATGTTATCTGGGTGTGTGATCACTTTCCCTGCTCAACACTAAACATTTCATTGCAGTGTCCCTTCAGATAAGGACATTACAACATTATGTGTCTGATTTAAAGATTTTAAAAGAGAATTCACAGATTTTGCCCGTTCCATTTTTGTAATTATTCTATGATAATGTCATTTTGTTTTTAAACCTTTTAGTGGACATTTGCATGCCTCCATCTTGTCCACCATCAACAAAGACTAATTAACCAAATTGCAGACAAGTTTGATGTATTTTCAAAATCTCTTGTAATCATGTATTATACATAAACACCTTGTATCTGTATTAAACTAAATTCAGATTAATGCCGATCCTGATGAAAACTGCTTTTCAGTTTGAAACACAAATTATAAACCAGTCAGTTTCTTTCTCAGACGTGCCCCTGATTGAATTCTGTCACTCTCTATTACTACCAACCTAACCACAATGAATATAAAATCTTTTAAATAATCTACTGTGTTTTTCATAGGACAATATCGGATTAAGAGAAATTAGTCTGAACTGTAGTTTGAACAAGGCGGAGAAATAAAAACAATTACAGGTTGATTTGCAGGCCAATTACTTGTGTCCTGTCCAGCTGGGAGTTGCTGTAAAGTGGACAGAGAGAACCAATGCATGTTATGACCAGGATTATCAATTTGATATAAAAACATTTAATTCTATGGTCTGTTACATTAGGCGGAAGAGCACTTCTTTTATCCTGAGATGGCCGTCAATTATAAAAAGCGGTGGTTATGGCGGGTATTGTTTTCTGATCATCATGTCCCATTGTTCTGTGTGGACAAAAGGTCACAAGAGTGAGCCATGCCCAAGATTGTGGCCTCTCAATGGTCATTGAACATGATCAGTAAGATGTGCCGATTATCAGAAGGAGGGTGCATTTCTCTTTGATGTTGGCACAATAAAATGAGTCAAGTTCAATGTTTTCATCTTGCGTTGTATTAATTAGGTGAAACTGTTTCATTATCTTTCCTTGCCCTGAACATGTGAATGAGTGTGTTGTGTCCTGGGGTTTATAATGTGTCGTCCTCCTCCTCCTCACACCAGCTCTGTAACGTCTGAAGCAGTTCTTTTGTCCTGTTCCCGTGGTGATTCTACACCCTGGGTTGTGACAGGTTCTTCAGAGAGAATCAGTGGGATGTAGAATAGGAACAGTGAAAAGCTTAATGATGGTTTTGTTTTTTCTTCAGACTGAAGATGACGACAACAATAACAGTCGAAAAACTGAAGATGGCACGGAGGGCATTGTGGTGTCAAAGGTCATGGAAGGAGGGTCAGCAGAGAAGACTGGACTACAAGTGAATGACCACATAGTCAAAGTAAGTCAATGTTTCCTTGGTTCGGCTGTTTTTACAGAGACATGGATTTTTTTCCTGGTGTGATGGATGAGAACAAAACACATCTCAGAGTAATTAACCATGTGTACTCTTAGGGTGGTTTATAGATAGGCTGGCCTTGCCCTGTGATTTTATTTATGTATCAACCAGGTAAGGTGGTACAATACAGATGGTAGGGACTTAAAGGAATGGCACACCAAGGTGCAGGCACTGGAGAGTGTGCAATATTACCAGCACACCAAGGTGCAGGCACTGGAGATTGTGCAATATTACCAGCACACCGAGGTGCAGGCACCAGAGATTGTACAATATTACCAGCACATACAGATGGAAGTGCAGGAGATTGTGCAGTTTTCCCAGCACATCTAAAAGCATGTAGCAAATGTTGTGCAATATTACCAGGTACTAAATTGTCGTCTCTTGCAGACTTTTTACCTGAACATAGCTCGTTACTTGTACAATGTGAACTTGTGATAGCACACTTTGAAATCTTCATGCAAATAGTATATTTTCTATTAAGTATATATCTACCAAGCTGAAGAAAATATGTTTCATTATATGATAACTTGTTTGTAACCAACAAGTTTTAAAGGAAAGGATAAGTAAGAATGAAAAGCAAGAAATTAAAGATTTGTAACCATGGTGATACATCATTCTGAAATCTGAATCTGTCAGGCGCTTCAAACCTGATTAGAAACTTGAGAAGGGTTTAGCCTATCAAAGGCCTGCAGATTGTCGGTGCACATAAATTGCTGATCAAGTATGTTAATTACAATCTAGGCATGTTTGTGTAGAGGGAGTTGGCTTATGATAACTAGAATAACCAATACTAAGGACATCATTATAACAGGCCCAACATCAACCATATTCTGGCAATGCGTCACCCAATATCTTGACCAATCGGAATATTAATATTGGTCTATTAATTGGTCCTGATTACTAGTTCTAAAACTGACCATTGATTATAGAACTGGATATGGTCAGTCAATTTAGTAAGAGGCCAGAATTCTTGTAATAAGGTTTTCTGTCAAACTTCTGAGGGTTGAACGCTGGGGATTTGTGAAAATCGTATGGGGTGGATGGTCAACCAAATCCCTGTCATTGTCCAGACTAATGTCCACTTGATTAGCAGTGGTCAGTAGTAGTCTACCAGGTGATTACAATCATATTAGATTCAATTTGAATCGCAGCTGATGAGTAGGAAAACAAGAGGGTTTTGAAGAGTTGTTAACAAGATGTGTGAATCATCCTTGTGTCCAGTTGGAGGGTCAGCTGTTTTCCAGTGAGTGGTCTTTGTTGATACATTAACGGCCAGAAACACCGAGTAAATAACACAAAAACTGGACATTGATTGAGAAATCCTTACAAAAGGCCTGTTGGATGTGAGTTGGTAGACTTACAATGCCTGTAGGATTGATCTCTCTGAAGTATCATTGGCATGTCATCCCTGTGCATTGTCACCTAGCACAGACTGAAGGCAGGTGTCCAAATACAAATATGGTCACCCGCTGCTCGAGTTAAATCTCAGTAATATAAGCACACTTTAACGAGAAATTCTTACAAAACAGACAATTGGATGTTCTAATGATGTGAATGACCATTGAGGTGAAGGTGTAATATGGAGGCCTCCACTCTAACAATAGGAATCATATGTTCTATAGAATCTTCAAGCAATTGTCCAAATATGATTTAGACAGGTGAAAATACTCAATCCAATAATTTACCTGAGATTATTAACTTCTCTGAAAAATCTATTTGGATGAAACATGTACTAGAACACCTGTTGTTTATGTTGATTTGTATTCATCAGAAACATCTTCTAGAAGGAATACTTGTCGGAGTTCTCAGTTTTTAGATTAACCCTCTTCACGATCCTCGTGTATAGAGGGTATCATGAGTTGCCTGTTGTTAGGAACCCACTCAATTGTAAGACATTAGTGACACAATACTTGATAAATTTCTTCACAAGATTATAACTTCCCCACGACAGCTTTTACAACAACACATGTATCAACTCTTTTGGCTTTCACATTTGAAAGGCAGTTTTTACTTTTTGGCATAATTGAGAAGTACAGGTGTGCTTTTTGATTCTTTTTATAAATATTGACTTACTTTGTTGAAGTAGTATTATAAGCATGAGATAGTTATCAGTGGTGTTGCTACAGTGTGCTGGTCATGGTGTGTATGTGGACTTGAATTGTTTGAAATATTGTGTATAAACATTCAATATTTCTCTTGTGATGAACACAGAAACATTTGGCCACACCCCAGCAAGACAGTGTCTTTGATGTCGATTTAAAATCTTTACTAGCTCATTTCTCAAACCATTAGGTGATATTTTAATGGAGAACATTACCAGTGATTTGTCACAATTTCAATGACGGGTGTTTGTTCGTGCAGTGAGGGAGGTCTTTGTACCACTTCTGGGAGTTAAACCATCAGGTAATGGTTTAGCTCACTATATCCTTAATAGCCGCCTAGATTTGTAATCACCACAGATAGATCACCTAGTGAAAAGCAATACGCTGAAAATCTACATTGGAAGTCCTCAACCATTGTCTGCTTCACTATTTACTGACTGACCACTGACCAGGCTGACCAATTGAAACAAGATGGCATATGGATTTGTAATGTGCCTGTTTAGTTATTTCAATGGCCAGTGAGCAGAATGGGCTTTTTACATGACATTTAAATATATTGAGCCAAAACATAATAATCTACATTTTCAGGGAGTCCTAGAGGTTAAGACTGAAGTATTCTATTGTGCTAATAAAAGTGTTGAATGGAAAGCTGTTTCAGATTTAGGATTTGTATCAGGGATTCAGGATATTTATCCAAGGTTTTCCACAGTAAGGGGCTGTCTACTGTTGGGACATGGATATTTATCCAAGGTTTTCCACAGTAAGGGGCTGTCTACTGTTAGGACATGTATTCAGGTCACCCACATGTAGGATTAGTATGCAAGGTTTTCGACAAATGCAATTTGTATCCAGGGCTTTCCACAGATACAATTTGTATCCAGGGATTTCCACAGTTACAATTTGTATCCAGGGATTTCCACAGTTACAATTTGTATCCAGGGCTTTCCACAGATACAATTTGTGTCCAGGGCTTTCCACAGATACAATTTGTACCCAGGGATTTCCACAGTTACAATTTGTATCCAGGGCTTTCCACAGTTACAATTTGTATCCAGGGATTTCCACAGTTACAATTTGTATCCAGAGCTTTCCACAGATACAATTTGTATCCAGGGCTTTCCACAGATACAATTTGTATCCAGGGCTTTCCACAGATACAATCTGTACCCAGGGATTTCCACAGTTACAATTTGTACCCAGGGCTTTCCACAGATACAATTTGTACATAGGGCTTTCCACAGATACAATTTGTATCCAGGGCTTTCCACAGATACAATTTGTATCCAGGGCTTTCTATAGTTACAATTTGTACCCAGGGCTTTCTACAGTTACAATTTGTACCCAGGGCTTTCCACAGATACAATTTTTATCTAGGGCTGGTCAAGTTTGGATTTAAATCCTTGACTTTCCCTGCAACAGCTGGATGGCCTTCTCTTTTTACACAACCTGGTCATCAGAGGTTTCAGTACATACTTGACTTTCATTAGAAGGCTATGTTAGATCAGGGCAACAGTTGTTCTACATGTGACTTTTATAGCAAGTCCAGTGATAGGATTTCTTGTTTTTAGAGGGAAATGACCTCATCAATATACAATATTAGAAAACTGTTTGGAATAGAGTATACCTTCACTTGTTACATGTATTTGAGTACATAGGGGCAACAAAGATAATTAAGCTTCTAACAAAGATTCCTAAATGACAATGAGTGATGGAGTATCTACCAGGTATTGTTTTACACCTGTGAGACACTAGGTGACATGGCAACAGATGGTTGTATGTTTGATGTTGGGGGATTAATTGACACAAAATTGGTTTTATCTAGTCATTCCAAAATGTCTTAAATATTTGCAGATAGCAGCTATCCATCTGTTGCACTGAAAATACGGAAAATCGAAGAAGATATTTAGTCGATAGAACTTCAGATTATTGTATTTTCTGGATTATTAGCCTCACCTGTATATAAGCCACAGAGCCAATTTATAACAATTTTTTCAATTTTATCCACATATTAGTCGCACCGGAATACAAATCCCAGCTTTTCTAACGATGTGGTAACCATTATGTTGACCAAAATTTATTGATATAACAAAATACGGAAGGCAATTTATCAAGATCGTCAGTGAAACATTTGATATAAGTTTGCAAATGAATTAAACACAGAAAATCCTTTATTTTATTGGTGTGTTTCAAAAAACGTAAAATAGCAATTATTGAACTTGCTTGGCAGCCTCCAGAGATCGTCTACACACAGATATAGGGTCTGATGTTACATAATGTTTACTTAACAATATCTCCATTGGTATACTGTTAAATATTAGTGAAGGCCCTTGCATGCTGACAGAATTCTTATATTAAAAATTTTACCTCACCATGACAACTACACTGCCTCACTGATGCCTGAGGTGTCTTACCATTTTGCCTTTATACCCAAAGTGTTTCATTTTAATAAGTATGGCATCTTTTTTATACCTAAGATGTAAAAACATGCACCTAGAGTGTCTCACTCTGATGCCTAGAATGTCTCACCATTACACTTAGTGTCTTATTGTGATAGCAGATGTGTCTTAGTGTCTAATTGTGATAGTGAAGGTGTCTTAGTGTCTCATTGTGATAACAGAGGTGTCTTATTGTGATAGCAGAGGTATCTTAGTGTCTCATTGTGATAGCAAAAGTGTCTTAGTGTCTCATTGTGATAGCAGAGGTGTCTTAGTGTCTCATTGTGATAGCGGAGGTGTCTTAGTGTCTCATTGTGATAGCAGAGGTGTCTTAGTGTTTCATTGTGATAACAGAGGTGTCTTAGTGTCTCATTGTGATAGCAGAGGTGTCTTAGTGTCTCGTTGT